AGGTAAATAGTGTATCGCAGAAAGCCAGAAACTTTCCATCTGCTACATAATCCCAGGCTAAAAACCTAAATTATACAAGTAGCCGTTTTTGGCCGCCCGAAAACACAATAAGCACCCCCGAACTGAATTCAAAGATTCCTCTAGGTCATATCGCTGGCATGTTACCCTCTGCTCTGCCTTGACGAGGCATGCGAGCTGCGCTAGCACTTACTTTGACGGCATATCAATAAGCAGCAATAATTACGATTTATTTCTCAGCAGTCCTCCACTAATGCATATCTCGTAAACAGCGTTACAAATAACATTACAAGCCCCATTTAAAGATGAATTATCGAGAGACGATAACCTCTATCAGACTGTTTACTTCAGCCAAGCCACTCCGGTTATTTACGTTTATGTGTAATACGCACGATAAATCACTTGCACAAGGACTTTTAAATGGTAAATTTCCACGAATTTTTAAGTGGATTCTGCAACTGCTGCGTAGGCTTGCCGAGGACCAACATAGCGAAAGTCGCTTGTGACGGCGAGCCTTGTAAAAGGTGATATTGAATTCGGCATAAGGTAACATAGGCGGTGACCGTGGCCAGCAGATAAACGACCACATTTCGGTCTCTGCCGCAAGGTTCCTGTTGACTAAATGCGGCAAATGAGATTGGTTTTAGAGTAATTTAAATCAAAGCACTTCCGGTATAGGAAAGACCAAATGCAGCGGTTGCAATGAAGTCACTGAATGTTTAACGCATAAAACATCCCCATCAGACCGGTTGTATATGATGCTGAACACGGTTAAACGAGGCTTTACACTTTATCTGCTACCGTTTGCCGACATCGCCGCCTCATAGCAACATTGAAAATTTACGTCAAACACTGTGTTTACGACAACTCATACGATACTTAGACTAAACCTGCTTGGATTCTGGGTCAACCTCCAACCGTTCGATAGCATTTAGCGAGACATAGCCAGCTGGACCATGTCCGGTTTCAATTTAAAGCGTTGATCGGGCCCTAATTACATGACGCGCACTGGTCCAGCGTAAATCTTCTGGGACATCCTGCCAGGGCGAACCCAAACGAAAGATGACGATTAGTTTGTAAACAGAAAAGTGCATCACACTGCCTGTCGGGTAGCTAACACTTCAAGAAAAAGTTTACGCTACCTGACAATCACGTCGAAATTCAGCTCACAGCCAACCGTTTTATGGGCATAAGCTGTTTCCATATCTTGCCGGGGGTGGGCTAGGGGTGGGCATATAGGCGTTCTCTATGTTAAAAATTGCCGTGCCTTGAATCCGGGGAAAATCCCTTGATAATAGCAAATATATAATTTAGACGAACTGTCGGTTCCATAAGGTTTGACTGCACCAAATGTAATAAACT